AATCATTATTTTCATTAGTGAACTTATTTTCTTTTTTCTTCAAAATTTCTTAGGCGTCACATACAGCAGAGGTGCCATATTGTGAGGCCTCAGAAGTCCAGCAGGAAGAGTAAGTAAACATTTAAAGGGATGCTCCACTAGTATTCCCTACTTGTTTGCATTTAATGTTGTCCACATGAAATCTGATGCTACGTTCACAATGCAGGCAAAAGCACATCAAATCTGATTGTTTTGTTACCCCCATGTACGAGACCAACACCCACCGCCCCATCACATTCTGGTAACGTTCATGATCCGTGACAGTGTGTTGGGGGTGGTAGGTCTGGGTGCGCGCTCACAGATCACTCCGCCATTTTTCGTCAGCATCAGCAAAGAGGAGGCCTGTGGTTTGTTTCACTGTCGAGCGTCATTTTTGTCAGCGGAGAAGGTAGGGCCGGGGAGGAGGGTGGAACCACGCTTAGCCTGGCGGCCCACCAGTCTTTTAAAGTGCTGGGGGAAACCCTGTATGTGTTTTCTGTTGGTTGTTGTTGTACTTGAACAACTTGAAAACAGACAGAGTCTTTGACAAAGTAAGTTTGATAAACAAAGGATTGAGAAAGGCCTGTGGCTAACTTATTAAATGTATTGTTAAGCCAAAGACATGTTGTGAAAATGTAAACTGAATTAGCTTTTCCAATGAGTGAATGAAGTCCTTTGTGCATTCATGGCCATAGGTGTCCCCATGGACTTTTACGTTGGCCATAGGTTTCTTAAAAAAATTCCAATAGCAACTCACTCCTCTACCAGTCTTACTTCCATAGATTTCAATAGACCCCTTGTGATATTCTGCTCAATTTTATGTTTTTTTTTTGTCAGACTCTGAAGGTCTTCTGTCTTATGTAGACCTCCAGGTGTCTCTTCCCCACTTGTACCATCTGAGCCCGAACAGAGTAAGCCAGACGAGTTGGATTCGACTTGGATCATACATGAATAGAAGGGCGACGGTGGCACAGGAGTTAAGTGCTCGCCCTGTAGTCGAAAGTTTGCAGGTTTGAGCCCCGCTCAGTTTGTCACTGTTGTTGTGTCCTTGGGCAAGACACTTAATCCCCCTTGACTGCTGGTGGTGTTCGGAAAGACCGTTCTGTCTGTGCTCGACAGCCTCGCCTCTGTCAATGCACCCCAGAGCAGCTGTGGCCACATCGTAGCTCATCCCCACCAGCGTGTGATTGTGTTGAAAAGCACATTTCATCTTCCAGCTCTTGGAGAGTACAGACGCTTTTTTCTCCTCTCCCTCCTTGCTCCTCCCAAGGCTCTCTGTCCTTTCTGTCTGTGCACGGCGCTTCTCTGCATTTTTTCTGGAAACTGGAAATTATTAAAATGGATCTGGTCAGTTGGTCTCTCAACGTGATTGGCAAAATCTTTTCAACGATGAGAACGGGAGAAGGGGCTCCCGGATGCCCCTCTGGGACAGAGCCAGCTGGGTATATCATGGACTCCTGGAAACAGTGCAACCTGATCTGCCTCTCTCAACTGTCTGTAGAGGATTCTGAAGATGTTAGGAAATTTGTCGTTTTGGTGTCGGGAATCCTGCTGTTTGGCCTGAGCGGTTACCTGGCTTACCGGAAAATTAACAAGCTTTAGAGGAATATGGTGCCGTAAACTCACAGACTCATATAATTGTGGAGATGAGTCATAAGCTTGGAACTTTGGCTGAGCTTCAGGCTCTGGCACAGAAGGTGGATTCCATCAAGGAGAGAGTTGACGGATCAGCACGGATTTGAATAGTTTGATAATGCCATTATTGGACCTGGAGGGGTTGAAGTCCAACAGAACTCTAAGGCAGAGAGGAAATTATCTCTGCCTGTACCCAAAACAATTCTTGTTATCTGAATCTGGTGCCCTTGAAGCCTGTGAGGCTGAAGTGTAAACTCCCCTCAGAAGAAATGTGGAATGCTGCTGTTGCTATGGAAACCCTTTCTCCCTATCCCAGCCTGGGCGGGACTGTGACCGGTGAAGGCAGTGGAACCGTATCTAGGAGTCACTGTGCTCTCTAACCCATTATCTCCCTCCCCTGTCCAAACGGAGGTGATTAGCGCTGCTCCATGCGGCTGCGCACTCTGAAGTGAGGAGAGTCCCAACCCTACCTCCCCACCTAGTGGACACTTGAGTTGTGTATCGTCTGAAGTCTGTGCATATCTTGAGGCGTTATTTTGCATAGCAAAGCTATCCTGTCTGTCAGAGGGAACTCTGAAGTGCCTTTTTGCCCTCCCCCTGACTCTATCCTCATATAAACCCTCTTGATCTATAACGGTAACGCGACTCGTGTTGCGAATGACCAGTCACCAGTTCTTGTCATGTGTCTATGTATATATGTCTGATCTTGGAATTGTGTGTACTGAAACAATTGAATTTCCCTCTGGGATTAATCAAGTATTTTTGAATTTGAATCTTGGGGGTTCCAGGACTCTAGAAGGCGCTGTATCCAATACAGGCCATTTAATAATTTGAGCGTGATGAGTCAGTCAAGGACAGCAGAGAGTGAGAGGAGACAAGGATGCAAAGAAAGAGCCTTGACCCGTTCTCATTTCTGCAACATATTTCATAAACGCATACTGCCCACTAAATTTGACAAATAATAAACTCTCTGAAAATTAAATGTTAAAAAAAATTCACTCTAAGTTTGTTTAATTCATACTTGAAGTTAAATTTAAAAAATCAGCCAAAAAAATCCTAATTGAAGTTTTCGTAACTCATGCAAGATAGGGTTAAGTGGCAGCTGTGGTCACAGAAGTAACTGGGATGGCCCAGCTCCATGCAGCAAGTTAGCACATCAACCGTAGCCTGCTCATCATCACCCTCATTCCCCAACCATGCTTCTCCCCTGCTCCTCCTGCTATATATGGCCGCGTGCTGCTTCTGGGATGCGTTGATTTACGCAGTTAAACATAGGGATAGACAGGAAATCACACACGGTTTCAGTGTAAATTACCCGGTCATTTTAAAAATAAAAGTACTGCAGCGATGCAATTTCATATATATGTAGCTTACCTGTGACCCAACGACTTATTTACTCACAGCATCGTTTCAGAAGTGCAGCGTTGTGTTTTCATGGCTTTATTCCTGGCAGTGGAGAGTAACAACATCATATGTGACATCAATAACACGATTTCCGTTTATTTATTTATTTATTTATTTTTTGTTTAATGGCGGATTGCTTAAACAAACCGTGACCACAAGTCTTGAGGGATTGTGTGATCTCGCGAGTCCAGCTAAGAGCACAGCAAGAAAGCTGTGCCACTTCCCAGACTCTCCCGGTGCGAAAAGGGCCGCTTAGAAGTTTTCCAGTAAACCGTTCCGCTGCCTTTTCCCCCGCTGATGCTTCCAGTGTGAAAGCGGCGTAAGCCCATCCTGCAATGCTCTGCCTGCCAGATGACTGAGTGCCTGTCCATGTCGGTTTTCTTTGAATAGTGATGGTCACATCAAGCCTCAGAAAGCAATGAAGCTTTCCAGGCAATTGCTTCACCAAGCGTTCACCACTCGAAGCTTTTTTAGTGCTTTATTTCCTCAGCTTTATATAGCAAGATGTACTGCTGGAGCTGAAACATGACAGCCAAATCATCATGAAAAATATGTCAAACCTGTAATTTGGTTTATGCTTATGTTCACATAACATGAAGCTGCTGCTTCATTCAAGGAAATTGTGTTGGTTTCAAAAGTTGGAGGTTACACAAATGACATCCATATCTTGCATTCATAATAATTCAGAACTTATTCAGCTCTGACCCACTACTGTCCCTTGGCCATGCTCGAGTCTGCTCCCCTGCATTACTCCAGATGACTACATCTCTGGGTTAAACTCTTAATAAAGTTCTATACATTCTTTGTTGGTCAGTTGTCTTTCTGTCTAAAGCCTCAGTCTAAGCCTTTACAGAACCAGTTTTAGTGAGTAATAGAGTTTGAAAGGGATGATTTATAATACAATTGTCATGACTCCCATCCTTTACCCTCATCTGCCTTATCATTTCCTCCTCATTCAGCTCACCTTGTCCTCTCACCAAGCTCCAGCCAAGCCCTGTTTTCCCCAGCAACCTCTGTCAGCTTCAATCAGCTCCATTCATTCCACCTGCTCCTGTAATCAGCCTCATCCCATACACCTGCTTCCCCTGCTATAAAAGAACCAGCCATCCAGTCAACAGATGCCAGATTACTACAGCCTTGCCAGTAGTTCTCCAGCCATCCACCCTGCCTGCTCTTTGTCTCCAGACCTTGTTTTTTCTTCTGACCCCTGCCTTGCTCGCTGCTAGTGATGGGTAGATGAAGCCTCATGAAGCGTTTCAGCACATTCCCCAAATAGTATTGATACTGTGTCGACACAGTGCTGCTGTTTTGCTCTATAATGACACCTACTGGACTTTAAATATCATTGCAGGCAACATACTGGAGACACAACAGACGCTGATTCAATGACCTAATCATACTTGTATACACTGTAAGCTATTGTAGGCCTACTTCATATGGTATTATTTTAAACTTCAACATTTAAAATATATACACCTCAAAATATTCTGTGAATTATACCAAGTGACAATTAATGTGACAGTGTTGTGAATGTGATGTTACCCATTTCAGTGTCATTGACTCAAAGTTTTTTTTATTTTTATAAATTTTTATTTAGAAAAATAAGTGATTCTAATGTGTTGGCATTTAGTCTATTACGTTTTTTGGACACTATTTCACCAGCTTTCGAAAACACGCGTTCACAGGGCACAGAAGAAGCTGGGGTACACAAAAACTGTAAAGCCAGGTGGAAAAGGTGTGGGTAGGATGTCTTCCAGTTCCCCCAGTATGTTAATGGATTTTCTTGTCTTGAAATGTTTCCCTCTGCTAAGTAACGCTGGACCTCAATGATCGAGTCAGCTGTTGCATTGGTGGTTTGTCTACCAACCTCTTGATCAAGCTGCTGCCACAGATTATCTGAAATAATAAAAAAATACATAGAAGTTTTAGTTTTTGTTAGCAACAAAACAAATGTGAAAATAAACTGATAATACTGAACAACTTGCCTGAAGTGGGTAACTGCTCTGATGAAGGTCCAGGCTGTGGCTCAGATGTTGTGTGACCAATTACTGCAGCACACTCCATTTTCAGGCGATTGACAGCCTCACTACACTTGGAGGAACTACGAAATCCAAGTGTTTTAAATCTGGGGTCTAAAAGTGTTGATAGGGTCAACACACATGACTCCAGATTGGAAGCAGTGTCTGTGACGCGACGTCTATGTTGGTCATGGAGATGTGTGGCTGCTTGTGTGTGTAAAGAGTTCCGCTCAAGTGCACAATTTAGCATTTTCATCATCGGGATGACCTTTGATCCTGAAACTCTCCTCTCCTCAGACAACTCCACTGTGGCCTGATGGAAAGGGACCAGCACAAGAAGTGCTTCCCTTAAGATGTTGAACTCATCAGCTGTGAGTGGAGTTAAATTTGTTTGGAGAGAGGCAAGAGATACCCACACTGGTTCTTTCTCATCATGTAGCCGTGACAGCATCTGTGCTGTTCCAACGTGTTGGTACCTCAGTGACAAGTTTCAAGGTGGGCCGTCCCATCTGTTGCTGCACTTGAGCAAGCTTCTCTTTTGCTGTGGTGCTGGATCTGAAGAATGATACAACTCAATCTGCCTAGATTTGTGTCTTATGGATGGAAGTTCAGGGATCTGATCACAGGATTTTTTGACTATTAAATTTAGTTTGTGTGCAAAATGCAGATTGAATGTCGAATTTGAAGAGTTCGCGTTGCTGCTATCATGTTTGGTGCTGCGTCGGTCACAAGACACCTTACCTTATTTGTTATGGCCCAGTCGTTCATCATGCCCCTTTTGACTTGGGCCAGATTGTCAGCAGTGTGACTTTGTGGAAAGTGTTTGACTCCCAACACAGATGTACACAACTGCATATTATCATTGATGTAGTGACAGGTAAGAGCTAAGTAAGCCTCCATGTTCAAGGAGGTCCACATGTCAGCTGTTATACTCACTGCCACAGCTTGCTGTACTTCCCTTTTTACTCGTTCGAGTTCCTCCGCATGCTTTTTGGCCATCATTTCCTTAACCGTCTGAAAATGAATCAAAATCAAATTAGTCTATTACTTAACACATTAATTAGACCACCTGTCATTAAAGCAAGAAAAACATCCAGCTATGAAGTTCTCTGTGTTTTGCCCTGTTGAATAGAAGGTAGGAATTTAAAACTGAATGCAGTTTTATACCCAAATGTGAGCTGACACACTGGACGGAAATTATTCAAGCATGCATGATATTTGAATCACAAGTGTTTATTTTTGTTTGCTGTGTCATAAACCTTAAATCAGACGATGGTCTAATACATTTGTTAAGCACTGTATATATTACATGAGTAACAGCAGCTATCTGAGACACTGTGTATTCAAACCTTTCTGGTTGGCAAAACGTAAGATGGATCAAGGACCTGAATCAACCCCCTGAACCCCTCACTCTCCACAATGCTCAGGGGTTGGCAGTCCTTTAATAAAATTCAGGACTGCTTGGTCCAGAGCAATCTTCCTAGATTTCAAAATAATAAAACATATATTAGTAAAACAACTGTGACAAAGCACGCCCAGTGTCTATATAGGTCTACCTGTGTTCGTTCTTGGTGTATTTGCTTCCTCTTCGTTTTCATGCTTGACCCTGTAATGTCTCAGCATTGAGGAAGTGCTCTTATTTGTATAAGACAACTCCGCTGAGCAGATCCGACATTTAACCTAATTAAATTAAATAAATAATTAACACCGAGAGTCGGTCACATTGCTGTTTTCAACTCTGACAGATGCGCAGAAACGAGGAAAGACAAACACGTACCTTATTTGCTGTTAAAAGATCAAAATGATCCCACACAGCAGAAACTTTTCTTTTCCTCTCTGGCTCCATTTTCTTGATGTAAAGAGGGATGTCTCGTTTTATCTTTGAAATGGTAATTTTTTCGCGGCGACTCATCCCGTTGACAGATGCAGAGTCGATACCTTATAAACACAGTTTGGCGCCTCGGCAATGAGCGACACAGCAGCAGTGTTGGTCACGTGACTTATTCTTAAAGCAACACACGCATCGACACTGATCGACACAGGTTTCGCTCCATGAGCTTGACACATGCGCCGGTGTGTCGGTGTTGCTGGACCCATCACTACTCGCTGCCTGCCATTTGGACCTTGCCTGTCTCTGACCCTGCCTCAGCCTCGCCCTTCTCTGGTAACTCTGCTAAAATAAAGACTTTTTAATCCATGTTTTACTGTGTTTGGCGTCTTCACGGGTCTTCAGAGTTCAGTCTGTGACAACAATATGTAAAATTTTAATTTTGTGTGTCTGCAATGGTTGTGTTAGAGCTTTTTAAAATGAAGAATTTCTTATCCATTATTTTTCTTTATGAAAAACAGAGATGAGGCGACTACAATTTTGAAGAACATTAGTTCCCAGCTGGTCCCAGGACCTCCTCCATCATCCAATAGTATTGTGGTGGTGAGAGATACTCTCCTCGATAGTGCATTCAGGGCATTCCGGAGGCTGAGATTTTCACCTGTGCACCACCTCAATGTGACATTTGTGGATTGCGATGGAACTGGAGAAGCGGCTGTTGATGACGGTGGGCCCACCAGAGAGTTCCTGCATTTGTTGGTTGTCTCAATCAGAGACAGCCGATATTTCAGTGGTCCAGAAGATTCGAAGAACCTGGCTTTGGTTGCCCGTGGTAAGCAATGATAAATTAACATGAATTGTGTGGTTTGTGTTAATTGATTGATTATGCATCTGTGAATTTTATTTGCAGGTGTTGAAAATGGTGACTAAAAGCTGCTTCGAAAGATGATCAGCGTTGCTCTTGTCCATGGTGGCATAAGGCCACGCTTCTTTTCAAGTCGCTTATATTGTTCCATTGCATGTCGTCCTACACCCCCCGTTAGCCTGCATGAGGTTGATGATCTTGATCTCGGGGAGAAGCTCCAAAAGGTGAGTGTGTGTGTGTGTGTCAGTGTGTGTGAGTGTGAGTGAGTGTGTGTGATTCTGTCCAACCATTTTCAGCCGCTTATCCAGAGTTGGGTTGTGGGGGCAGCAGCCTAAGCCAAGAGGCCCAGACTTCCCTCTCCCTAGCCACTTGGGCCAGCTCCTCCGGGGAGTTGTAATTAGTTAAAAATCATGTACAACAGAAGTTAAAATTTTTATCATAAAAATTTGTTTGTCCTCTGCTATGACTTAAAGCATGCTCTTTATGCACATAGTGTCTCAATAGAATTTTTTTAACTCAAATATACCAATAATTTACAAAACTCTTAAAAACATACCGTAAATCCTCTAATATTAGCCTGTATTCAATTAACGGCCGGGTCTCATATTTTGGCCGGTGTCGGCGGAGGTGAATAATGGCCGGTCTCTTATTGTGGCCGGGTGGAATGTGGTAACAAGCAAGTACGGGGGGCGGTTGTGTCATCCGTCTCACTTTTGATTTGCCAGTGATAGACCGCGAGGGTAACTTTAACCGTGCGGAGACGAAGAGGAGGCGAAAATTTGATATCAAGTTCAAAGAGAACGTGCTGATTATGCTGCAGAACACTCTGGGGAGCAGTAGCAGGGGTTGTATGAACTAGTCGACTTCTCTATAGTGACTTTTTATGCCTGTCATCGACTAGTCGCTGTCACGTGATAATGACGGCAAGATGCAGCCCTCGGAAAAGACAGCAGCCTGCTGTCAGCAGGTGACAAGCTCCTGCGCATCGGGGGGGCAACGCGCTGTGCCTGAGCGTCTGTACTGACATGCGATCGTTCATGTCGGTTCATTTCCTTTAATGTTTTCTGTCTTTTATTTGCGCCTGATGCGTTTCACTGTGGAGCGGGGCACATCAACTTGATGGGATGGCTGAAGCAGAAACTACCGTTGTTAAAAGAAATGTGTTTAACTTTGAAAATGTGGGCGCAATTTTAATTGTCAAAAACTCCAGCGAACCATTAGTTCATTTTGCTCAAATAGAAATTGAGGCCTGCCTCTAATTCTGGCCCTCCTTCCAATAAAGGCCTGGAGCTTGATGAGCTTGAGTCAAATATAGGCCCGGGCCTGTATTAGAAGATTTACGGTACATTTAATACTGCGCTAAATAAGTAAAAAAAAAAAAAAAAAGCTCAATCAGACAGAAATGGGCCAGTTTAAACCCAGTAAAACAGGTTTCTAACAATAAGCTAACTGCCGTTCAAAGTACAACTATCAGGTTAATACAATTAACTAAAACTGCCTACATGAGCAATTACTGTCGGCTTAAGGATTGACTACATGCATAATAAATGATCAATAAGATAGTGATATTCCATATAAATATGAAATATCAATCTGATTGGTCTTTGAATGTTTAATCAGAAGATTTTAGTTTCTTTGACTTATTCAGGGAACATAAACACACTTCACATTAATTCAGACAAGAATCAAGAATATAGTTATAAAAATGGGTTTTATTCTCTTTTCCTAAAGTGAATGATTGTACATGACAAGGTGTGAATGAAATGATGGTTGTAAGTTAGATGTTTTAGCAAAACCTTTCTTAAGTATTTGAGAGAGTTTGTGGTGTCTGAGTGGTAAAATCAGTTTGGCTGTATGGTTTGGTAAACTACAGATTTATTTATAAAACCACCCGACTCAATTTGTGCTGGTCTACGCACCCTTGTGTGAAGATCCCCAAGTGATCCAGGGGGTCAAGTGGTCCAGGTGGACACTGCCGATGGCTTGGACCTCTGGTACCGAAACTCGCAGCCAGCTCCAAGCATGACCCGTCTTGTCTGGGTTATCTTCCAGATGACTGTAGAAAGCTGGAGTGTCTGTTTTGCTTCGGAGGCTGTTCGGTGGCTCTTAAAAGAGCTGGTGTGTCTGAAATCACTCACAAACATTGCAGAGAGGGTTTGACCTTGGGGTCAAAGAAGAAAATGGTCTCAAAATGCTTCTTCACCCAATTGGCATTATCAAGTTAGCTGCAAAGACTGAGGAATCAGGAAGTGATTCCTGTATTTATCAACTTTTGTTTATAATGTTAGACAAATCAGAATTTGACATTATTAAAAGGCATTAACAAAATACCACAGAAATCACGCCTTCAGTCAGATACTAAGATAACTCTTAGTGTGAAGAAAAAACGTTAAACATTAATAATAATCTTATTATAATATGTTGGTTAATATTAAACCAACGGACATTAATCTGGTGTAGTTTTAAATCTGAAATGAATAATTAAAAGAAAAAATATTCATTTTTACGCATCATTGTTTAATGCACACATTATTCATACACTTTGGAATTAAACAAGTGATGCTTATTTGACACGTATGCAGTTATAAAGCTTTAAAAAGTAATTTATAATTCAAGGAAGATGAACTTTATTCCGAGTGAAAGTGCAGAAAGTATCATCTTCTACATGGGCCCGTGTCTTCCCACAAAGATAAGGAAAGCACTTTTGGCTAAATTATTTGGTTGCACAGTGGTAGATCCTTGCTTTTCTTGGTTGGAGAACAGACAGATGTAATGTGTCCCTGGATGTTAGACGCAGTTTGTGTCTGGAAATTCAAAGTTAATTTCTGGTCATTTTTTATACAGATATTTGACCTTTGGGTACGTTACATACCACTTCACAATGACAAAATTTTGTTATTTCATCAACTTAACGAGGGGGAATAAAATCCCAAACACAGAATGAACAGCGTTCAATAGTGGAACTATTGGTGTTTATAACTATTGGGAGCTCCTTGGCCGACATTACTTTCGCATGTCATTCTTTCTAGTGAAGCCTATGGGAGTGTCCGAACTTTAAATCTTAAAGGCATTGGACTGGACTTGACCATCACCTGCTACTGGAGAGGCTGAGAAACTGGGTAGGCTTATCAGGAACTGCTCTGGAGTGGTTCTCCTCTTATGTCTCTGAGCGCTCCTTTTCTGTGGCCGTCTCCAAGTTTAGGTCCTCCACCACCTCTCTTACCCATGGTGTCCCACAAGGTTCTGTGCTGGGGCTCTACTCTTCCTCCTCTATCTGCTCCCTCTTCAGCACATCCTGAGCTCCTTCAAAGGAATCTCCTACCATCTTTATGCAGATGACATCCAACTGTACATCTCCTTTAAGCCCCATGAGACGTCTAAGCTGCAGCTGTTACACACCTGCTTAGACTCTATCAAAACCTGGATGGTGGGAGCTTTCTTCAGCTGAATGAAGATAAGACTGAGATCCTCATCTGTGCCCCAGACAAGCTGGTTCCCAAAGTCAGACTTTCTTGGTCAGCTTGCTTCTCACACACACCTTCTGTCAGGAATCTTGGCGTGACCTTTGACCCAGCTCTCACCCTGGATTCTCATGTCAGTTCTCTTGTTCGCTCTTCCTTCTTCCATCTCAGGAACATTGCTAAGCTGAGTCCCATTCTGTCCCGCTCTGAACTTGAGACTGTTCTCCACACCTTCATCTCCTCACGCTTAGACTACTGTAACTCTCTTTTCACGTGTCTGAGCAGAAACTCCCTGAACCGTCTACAGGTGGTTCAGAACGCCTGTGCTCGGCTTCTGACCAAGTCCTCCACACACACTCACATCACCCCGCTTCTCCTCCAGCTTCACTGGCTGCCAGTCAACTTCAGGGTTCATTTCAAGATCCTGGTTCTGGTCTATAGGGCCTTACATGGACAAGCACCATCTTACATTGGTGATCTTCTTAGTCCCTACAACCCCAGCAGGTCCCTGAGGTCCAGTGACCTAAGCCTATTGATTGTGCAGCACCAGGCTAAAGGTTAAAGGTGACAGATCATCTGCTGCTGTGTGCTCATCAGCACCCCAGCAGAAAGGGTCAAACTCTGGTAACCGGTGATGGTTGTACCCCATGTGCAGCAGTACCGGGACCAGAGTGAATAGGGTGTGTATGGGGAGCATGAGTGGGTGTCCGGCGTGCATTTTTGTAAGTCTTGGGTTGTATGTGCATGTGTGAGCATGAGGGAGGGAGTGTGTGACTGTGTTTGTGTATGACTGTATATGTCAGGTGGGGCCTTTGACTCCTCCCCTCTCCTGGAACTTCTTTTGATGATCTTCGTCCCCCCTCCCCCTGCCACACCTGGTGTGAGGGGTTGTGCCTTGGTCTGCCTGAGTGTTCG